GACATTTACATTCAAAAATCGGCAAGAAGCAAAGCCAAACAGAAACACTGTGATGGCTGAGAAAATGGTTTGAAAGGCTGGTTATGGGGAGGAAGCAGCCAGTTTGCAACCCACAGAGGTGAAGTGGAGTCCGGGTTCTTGGAAGTCTGCATCTTGGACGTAAAACTGGTGTCTTCTTTTAAAATTGAAGTGTAGTTAGTTTACCATGTCACGTTAATTTCCAGTGTACAGCATAGTGATTCAGTTATATTTATCTATCTATCTATCTGTCTGTCTGTCTGTCTATCTATCTATCTATCTATCTATCTTCCTTTTCACATCCTTTTCCATTAAAGGCTGTTACAAGATACTGAGTGTAGTTCCCTGCGCTCTGCAGTAGGTCCTTGTTGTTTGGAAGCTTCTGTCTTGCTCCCTGTCTTTTCGTGGCCAGACAGGCACCTCTGAACTCGCTCCTGGGGGACAGCCAGAGGGCTGGGGGCAGGATGTGGGGGACATCTGGTGCATCCTGAGCTGCTGGCGAAATGAACTTCTGGTTGATCACCTTGTTTCAGCCTTAGAAGGCCAGTCCTGCTGTCTGTGGTTTTGAAACATCTGCCCATGTTTGACTGGAATTAGCTGTGCACACAGCTGGCACCTGCCGACAGGTGGGCAGGGCATAGCGGTGGGGTGGGCTGGATCAGCCCGGATGCTCTTGCTGTGTGAAATCCTGCACGGATGGAATTTGCCTGGACCCCAAGGGCTGGCGGAAGCAGGCTTTTCTCATGCATGTATCTTCTGGGGGGTTCTGCTGGATGCCATAAGGTGACTTTTCATTGTGCACACAGGATATACTCATTCAAATCCAAGTAAGAAGTTATTTACTAGAAGTGAATATAGACTTTTGCCCCTTTAAAAAAAATTGAAGTATAGTCAGTTTACCATGTTGTGTCAGTTTCTGGTGTACAGCATCATGTTTCAGTCATACATATGCATATGTTCATTTTCATATTCTTGTCAGTATAGGTTACTACAAGATACTAAATATAGTTCTCTGTGCTGTACAGTGTAGACATGTTGTTTATCTATTTTACATACAGTACCTAGTATCTGCAAATCTCAAACTCACAATTTATCCCCTCCCACCCCCTTTCCCCCCTGTAATCATAAATTTGTTTTCTGTGTCTGTGAGTCTGTTTCTGTTTTGTAAATAAATTCATTTGTTTCTTTTTTTTTAAGATTCCACACATAAGTGATATCATATGGTACTTTTCTTTCTCTTTCTGGCTTACTTCACTTGGTATGATCATCTGCAGGTCCATCCATGTTGCAGCAAATGGCATTATTTTGTTCTTTTTTATGGCTGAGTAATATTCCATTGTATAAATATATCACGTCTTCTTTATCCAGTCATCTGTCAATGGACATTTAGGTTGATTCCATGTCTTGTCTATTGTAAACCATGCTGCTGTGAATATTGGGGTGCAGGTGTGTTTTCGAATTAGAATTCCCTCCTGCTGTATACCCCAGGGTGGGATTGCTGGATCATGTGGTAAGTCTATTTTTAGTTTTTTAAGGAATCTCCATACTGTTTTCATAGTGGCTGCACCTAACTACATTCCCACCAACAGTGTAGAAGGTAGACTTAACAAATTCTAAATGAATTTTTTGAGATGTCATTTGCATACAGTAAAACACACCCATTTTAAGTGTATCCTTAGTGTTTTTTTTGACAGAAGTATGCACCGTGTTAGCATTGTGACAATCAAGATAGACACATTTCTATCACCCCAGGACGTGCCTCTTCCCACTTGAAGTCAACCCAACCCCATCCCTGGCCTCTGCTACCACTACTTACCATGATAGGTTTGGTTTTTGCCTTGAACATAGAAAATTTTTAACCCCGGGTGTGTTGAATGGAACCACCACAGTGTCCTAGGAAAACCCAACCCAGCCCTTAACAGTGGCCTCTTAGTTGTTGAAGGACACAGTCTGCGACAGCCAGGTAGTAACCCCTGTCCCGTAACACAGCAAGGAAAGTGTCACACTGGGCTGGAACGCTGGGGCCACACAGCCCGGGTCCACATCAACGCGCCTCAACCCGCTAGTCATCTGACCACAGACAACACCGTACCCGCATCCCTTTGTCTGCCAAGTGCAGTCATAAAACACCCCTTCCATGGGATGGTGAGAATTAAGTGAGCTCGGCAAAGAGCTCAGAGCAGTGCTGGCTCAGAGAAAGCCCCAGTAATCCAGCCAGGTGTGATGTGTCGCCCGAGATGGATGGCCACGCCTCCTGACAGTCCATTCCGCACACGGCGGCTGGGTGCTCAGAGAGAACGTCAGTGGGACCATCACACTCACAGTAAACCCACGCTCCTCCTGTGCCCGTTCCTGGCAAGACGCGGTCATTCCTGCCTCTGGGACTCGGCCCCTGGCATCCTCTGCCCTTCTCTCTGCTCGAGCCACACCCAACACATTTTTGTCTTCATGGAATCCCCACGTCAAGTTCATTTCCTTTTTTCCCTTTTACTGAGTTGTCTGAATTCTTTTTTTTTTTCGGAAGTGTCATCAGTTTTCAGTTGTGTCAATTTCTGGTGTACAGCGTCATGTCTCAGTCATCCATGAACCTACATGTATTCGGTTTCGTATTCTTTTTCATCATAGGTCACTACAAGGTACTGAATACTGTTCTCTGTATGCTGAATGCAGGAGAAACTTGTAGTTTATCAAGTTCATTTCCTTCTCACGGCGTTTGCACCTGCTGTGCCCTCTGCGTGGAAAGCTTTCCTGGACTCTGCACCTTTGCATTGGGTTTCAGCCCGATGGTCACAGGGGAAGAGGGCTTTCCCGCCTGCTCTGCGCCCACCGCTCCCCGGTGCCTCACTCTCTCTCGTTCCTCTCGTGTTCATCTATACCTGGAATTATCTGGCATATGTATTTGTGTGTCTGTTTATTTTCTGGATTTCCAGCTCCTCCCACTAGGACGTGGGTTCTGTCCCAGGAGACCCCGTACTGAGCAGGCGTTCTCTGGTAGCAGGCTCCGTGATGGCTCACAGGGAGTTGGGACAGGCCTCATCTCTTTTGGACTGCCTTTCTCTAATCCTTAGTCTAATTGGCTGTGGCCAAGGTAGCATGATTGTTTTTGCTCCAAACATTTAGACCCACCCATTTTCCTCATCTATGTGTACTGTGCCAGAGGCAGCCTGCGTGTGTAGATTCAGGGGTCTGTGAACACGTGATGAGAGGACTCCAACCCAGACTGACTTCAGGTGAAAACAGACAGTGGGTAGATTTATTGGCTTAAACAACTAGAAGTTCCAGGGTGGCTTTCAGGCATAGCTTGATCCAGGGGCTCAGATGACATCCTCATCAGTCAGTGTCTCCTCATCTCTTGTTTCTGTTCTCTGGATTGGTTTTTTCTCGAGCAGTCTGCTCACCGGGTGGTGGCCTCCAGCAGCTCCTGATTTATATCCCCCAAATTTCATATTCAGCAGGAAGAACACTCCTCTTCGTGGTTATAATACAGGGTGTCTCCTTGAGTCTTACTGACCTGCCTGTGGGCGTGAGCTCAGCCCCTGTGTTAGTTATCTGTAGCAAGCAACCTCCAGATGGTGACAGGGATGTCAAGGAAGATAACTGCTTATCATTTCAATTTCTATAGCATAGAAATTCAGGCAGGGCCCAGTGGGTGTTGCTTGACTTTGCCTGGTGATTTCCAGGGCCTCAGCTGGAAGTCTCAAAGGCTGGAGTCCGGAATCATCTGAAGGCCTGGCTAGGCTGGAGCGTCATCCCAAGGTGGCTCTGTCCCCAGGCTAGCAAGTTGGCCGTGGTTCCTTGCCAGGGTGGTTGGTCTCCTTGTAAGATGGCGCGGGCTCCCCCAGCGGGGGCGAGCTTGGAACTGCAGCGTCCCTCACGACCTCCGCTGGAGTCCCCACCGTCATCTCTACCAGGTGCTGCCCTTTAGATACGATAGTGGCCCCAGCCTGCCCTGGGGCTGCGGGTCTACAGTCAGGCTCACGCTGTAAAGGGGTGAGTCGTGGAAGAATTCGCAGGTATTTCAAAAGCACCACAGCCGTAGACTCATCACAGCTGCTGGAAGGATGGATGCTTCTGATTGACAAGGAGAGGCCGCACCTGATCTCGGGGGCGCTGTCACCAGGCGAGGGCAGGAAAGGGTCTGTGATGCTGCCCCCTGACCCAGAGCAAAACCCAGATGTCACCACACTACTGTTTGCGTATTAGAACATGCTGGGGCTCCGGGAGACCTTATTCTCTGGGAAAAGCCACTGACTTTACACTGATCCCAAAAAACAAACCAGAACAAAATTCCATCATTGGAAAGTGGAAAAACTAAGCTGCGTGAAATAAGGATTCTTCCTTTTACAAAAGGACTGACCAACAGGTCACTTAAAATAGTAGACTCCAGTTTAGCGTGCAATGTCACGTGCGCTGCGCCCCGGGCTCGGCACCGGCAGCCACGCAGGAGGGAAGGCGAGCGCCTTTGAGTCCCTCGGGAGCGGGAGCGGTGCTGTTTTGCATCCGGGCAGCTGCTGGCTCCGCGCCTGGGAGCTGGTGCAGAATCAGCCCCTCCTGGTCTGTGAGGCACGGTGTTCCCTGCCAGCATTCCCGCAGAACCATCATCTCCTTTTAAACCCAGCGTCTAAGATGGGCACAAAGTTCTGTAATTCACGCTCTTGCCCGAGCTAAAAACACAGTCTGTGTTTGTCTGACGGCGAACTTGTTTTCCCGTTCCGAGCCCGGCTCCTCCACGGTTTTCCGATTTTCCGTGCCTCAGGTCTCTGGATGAATGGAGTGGCCTTGAATCCTCGTTTAAATCAGCCCTGGGATTCCTCCATCACTGCAGAGGGCGAGTCTGCATGCTTTTCTCCCATCAAGATGCAAGGTGTGTTACGAGAGGCTTCTGTTCTGTAGCTTGGATGCCCTGGCTTTTTTTTTTTAAGCTCATCTTCCTTCTTCTTAAAGCATCAAGCATTTAGCCTCGGCCGTGTCAACCTTCAGTGGTGTTTTTATTTCATCACAATGGAATGGTTATATGCAGCGTGTGGGTAAAAGGCTTAGCTAAGTGCTTTTGAATCCCAGACCCATTCTCTGATTGTACTTGTGCCCCTCTTGATGGAATTCAAATAAACAGTTCTCTGGCGTGAAAGGCCCTCTATCAGATTCATTTCTGAATTCTTGTAAGGATGTCAGCAGGTGGCCCCCAGGATGTGACGAGGCACCGGCGATCAACCTCGGTGGCCGCGGTGAATTAATCTGAATCTGTTCGAAATGAAAAATTCAGACAGCGCGGATGGGATAGACTGAAGGAGCCGCCCGCAGTGAACAGAAAGGGCAGGCGCGCCCTGCGCTTTTTGGGCAGAGAGATGCCCGCGCACGGAACGTGTCGTACGCGCGCGGCCCTCCGGAGACGTCGCGGCTCCTCGCTCCGTCGGGCCGGTCTGTTTCCTGACGTGTCCAGCAGGGAGATGGCCAGCAAGCCCGCGGCAAGGGAGGGTTTTCCCTGGTTGGCCGCTGAACTTGAACCTCTCCTCCCGCTGCGCGCACACCTGAACTGGGGACTCCGAGGTAGGGACGGGAGCACCTGCATTTTGTGGCTTTCCAGCTCAGTGTGTTAAAAGCAGCTCTGCCAGGCAGAGCATTCAATCCTAGGCTCGTCCCGCTGAAACAGTCAAAGGTTTGTCAGGTATAGCTGGAACTGAGCAGGACCCTGCGGGGTCTTCCCCGGACAGACCCTCCGTGTATCCTCTGCGGCAGCTCCTCTGGGAAGCACCCAGAGCATGGTGTCTCATGAACATTTCCTGAGCCTTTCAGATGCTAAAGCCACCACCAAACGACTTAATGGTCGTGAGCACGTGACCCCCAGACCTTCTGGCGCCAAGGGTTGATAGTGTTAACACCCTGGTCTCTCCACGTCGGCCCATCGGAGGGTTGTGCACAGCTGATCAAGTACCTGTGCCCCCCCACCCCCCACCTGACCTTTAAATAGGCTTTGCTGAAACCCTTCCGGGAGTTTAGGGTTTTCTTGGGTATGAGCCACTGTGTCCCCCTTGCTCGGCCCTGCAGTCAACCTTTCTCTGCTCCAAACGCGACGTTTCAACTTGTTCAGCCTCTCAATGTGTCTGGCACACGAACTTGCATTTGGTAACACAGCATTCTGAAAATGGCGATTTTTTTTCCAAAACGTTAAAACACTTCCAGAAGTTCAAGTTTCTCAAAAGGTTAGCGACATGATGTTGATGCAGGAAGAACGGACGTGGGGCGTGAGGAGGGCTGTGTCCCAGGCTTCGGCGGAGCCCCTGGGACGTGCCCCGCCAGGCGTGGGTCCTTGGCTTCGCGCAGGAGAGAATTCAAGAGCGAGCCGCAGTTGAGTGAAGGTAGATTTATTCAGAGATACATCAAAAGGTGAGAGAAAGGCCACGATGTGGGGGTTGGGTGCTCAGATTAGAGTACAAGTAGGTGCACACTCCGTGGACAGAGTGCGGGCTGTCTCCGAAGAGTGAGAGAGGGGGCGGCCGCAAGGCGCCATGTTGCTGGTTTTTATGGGCTTGGTGGCTTCATATGCTAATAAGTGGAAGGACCAGTCTAAGGAGAAGGGGCTGGGATTCCCAGGAAGTTGGCCCTTTCCCACTCTTTGACCTTTTGTGCCAGCCTCGGGGCTGCCATGGTGCCCGTGGGCGTGTTAGTCACCATGTTAGTGTATTACAGTGGGCGTATAATGAAGCTCAAGGTTTGCTAGACGTCACATCTCCCACCATCCTGAGCCTCAAGGCCTCCTGGGGTTGAATCTTCCGCCATCCTGGTGTTAATTGCTGCGTTACTCCTTGAGTGGCTGTGCCCTGCCCCTTTCCTGTCTCAGCGTAACAAAGGAAGCCAATAGCATTTAGTTTTTTAGAGTCAGTGACGTGGTCTAGCTCCACAAACGGTGATTGTGAGAAACTGATACGGGCGTGCACACACACATTCAGTGGACAAAGTGAACGGACGCTGGAAGAGAAGGTGGAGCTTGACTCCCTGTGGGCGGTGAGCCAGTGGCCTCCGAGGTTTTCTCCCCCACGTGGCAGAAATGGTTTGCATTTCTCCTGGACAAAAGCCCTTTGCAGCTTTTCCACCTCCTGCAAGTTCACATCTCTATTGTCGGACTCTGGGTCCTAATCAGTAGTCAGTAGTGCGTTGATGGGGTCCCCTTTCCCTGGGGGAACCCGTGATGCGCCGGCGGGGCTGCTGAATGTCCTCCAGTGACTGAAGGGCGTGCAGTCATCTTGTAGCCAGGTTTCCAAGTTGTGCCTGGCTTGTCCTAACAGGCTGCATTCTTCAGTGTCCACAGCGGCAGGTGGGGCGGTGGGGAGCGGGGAGCAGGCGGAGTGGGGCTGGTGGGTGGGGCTGGGAAGACCCTGACCCGGTCCCCACGTGCAGCGTGAGTGGCGTGTGGCCGGAACTTCAACTGCCCACAAGGAACGGTCAACCCAGGCTTTCCTGGGAGACCTCCCAATGAAACAGCACGGCAGCTAGTTTACTGGGAAGAAGTGTCATCATGGTTCTGGTTTTGCTGTTGCCTTTGGCACAGCCACTGGACGAGCTGTGGGGCTTCTCCTGAAGGGCTGTCGGGTGTGGTGCGGAGCGCTGGCCACACTCACGGGCCCAGGCACGGCCCGCAGCTCGCGCTGCGGGTGGCGTCCCGCCCCGCCCGTTGCCGGTCCTGTGATCGGAGGCTCCCTCTGGTTCTCCCTTCTGTGAAGTGCGGTGACAGTTGTGCTTACCTCCTAGGCTGTGTTGGGGGGTGCGTGAGGTGATACCCGGATGGTGTCGGGAGCATGAAGAGCCCCACGCACGTGGACTGTGCTGTGTCACTCAGGTCCACTCTGGGAGGCTCCGGGCTCCGTGTCCCTGCGTGCCCTGCACACTCGGGCAAAGTGTGTGATGCGGCGTGGTTATGGGAGGGAAGCTGGTGGGCACTTGAATGGCCCTTAGTTGTGTGCCGCCTCGTTTTACAGATGAGGACACGAGGCCGGTCTCCCCGTGGGGACTTCCCCTCACTTTACATCATTGCTTCCTTTTCTCCTCTTTCATGACGTCACCTCCTGCCCTGCCTGTTTGACCTGATTGAATGCTATCACCTGGAAGCTGTTCTGCACAGTGTTTCTTTCTTTAAAAAAATTTTTTTTAAATTGAAGTATGGTTGATTTACAATGTTGCATCAACTTCAGGTGTGCAGCAGAGCGATTCAGTTATCTATACCTTTATATATATATATGTATTCTTTTTCAGATTCTTTTCCATTATAGTTTATTACAAGGTACTGAATTTAGTTCCCTGTGCTGTATAGTAGGTCCTTGCTGTTTATCTATTTTATATATAGTGATGTGTATCTGCTAATCCCAAACTCCTAATTTTTCCCTCTTTGATAACTATGAGTTTGTTTTCTGTGTCTGTGAAGTCTGTCACAGTTCCGTAAATAAGTTCATTTGTGTCATCTTTTTGGATTCCACACGTAAGTGACATCATATGACATTTGTCTTTCTCTGTCTGACTTCACTTAGTATGATGATCTCCAGGTCCATCCATGTTGCTGCAAATGGCATTAGTTCATTCTTTTTCATGGCTGAGTAGTATTCCATTGTATAAATACACCACAGCTTCTTCATCCAGTCATCTGTCCTTGGACATTTAGGCTGTTTCCATGTCTTGGCTGTTGTGAACAGTGCTGCTGTGAACATTGGGGTGCAGGTGTCTTTTTTCAAAGCGAAGCATAGTTAATTTCCAGCGGTCCGTGTGTTTCTTGACTCCTCATGGGCATTCATATTCTGTTTGGAGCGATGGAGTGGAGTTGCCGGTGTATTGTCCTTACTTTTCTGTGCCAAACTAAAACCATCCCCTCGCCCAGAAGACACCCCCAGCCCCAATGAGACGCAGCTCTCAGGGAGACAGTGACCAGCGACCAAGGGCACGAGCACTCAGCAGGGACTCAGCAGTGAATGCCAGGTGCGCGGGGGTGCACTTCTGTGACTCTGCAGAGGACACAGGGACAGTCTGCACTGGCACCTCGCAAACCTCAACTCCGGCAACATTACCCCAGTACCTACCGTGTGCGAAACGTGGGGCGGATGCTTCCAAGCACGTGCTCTGTGTTAAGACTCACATTAAGAAAACAGATCTGTTAACGTGACTTCTGGTTCTACGGAAGCTTTGGGTTAAAGCAGAAAGAGGGAAACTTCCGGGCAAGCAGGCTGACTTGGTGCTGGTCACCTGCCAGTCCCCCCAGGCAGTGACGGCCACAGAGGGACAGAAGGCTGGTTGCAGGGTGTCTGTCTGTGACCTTTCCTTTGTCTAGTTGTGTGGTTCTGGAGGCGTGAGGATTCTGCCCTGGAGTATGTACTGTGCGCTATTGGAAGCTTAAGGGAGTTTCAGAGATGATCTTGAGTGTATATAACATTTACCTTAAGCCCTCGCTTCAGAACCTCTTCTCTCTCCTCCACTTCACATGGTGAACCTTAGGGGCACTAGACGCCTAGGTGTCCTATGAAATAAATGCAGTGTTTCCTCTTTTATCTAGTGGGAAAGCTTTTTAGGAATGTTCAAGTCTCCCTATCGGAAAATCAGAAAACATCCTAAAAAAGACGGAAGTTGCACAGCACAGGGTCGTCCGGCCGTGTTCCGGGAGCTTTCTCTGTGTCCTGCTCTAGGGCTGTGCACGGTTTGCTTCCTGCTCCTTCCAAGTTTTCTTCTGTTCCACGGACCGCTCCTTTGCTAGAGTTACAGCATGACACTCCACCTGCCCTGGGGAAGTCATCCGGTTTAATGCTGGTTCCTGTGGTGTCTGCAGCCTCGAGAGGGATGTGGGAGACTCAGAAAGAGGACGAGGAGGAGGGAGGGAGAGAGGGCGGGACTTCGCTCTCCATCAGGAGAGGGCTTTGTGTGCAGGTGCACACGCGGAGTTGTAGAGGCGAGGAGGTGTATCCCTGCGGACAGAGACACAGACGCGGAGACGCAGGGCTGGAGGGTGACAGCCTGAGAGACTGGTTCATCCAGGATTCCGGAGCCCCCAGCACAGGTGTGGAGAAGTGGGTGTTCATACGGATACACACAGAATGAGGCGCCCGAATTAGAAAGAAGGAGATTTTACAGCCTCTGGAAAGAATCGGGGGTGTGTTTCTATGGAGGAAAATGGATACACTCAGCAGATAAAGTAAAACTTGCAAACTCTTTGTCAGCCCCCTCCCTCCCCGACTCCCGAAGGTTTTAGAGATAACAGTGGTGAGCACTTTGGTGGGACAGTTTTCGACTCTGTCTCTGCCTTTGCCGGAGGTGGCCACGTCCGGCAGTGCGGACTGTGTACCGCACAGCTCCCGCTGGTGACGCTCACATCGGTTGGGGTCGGTAATCCGCGGCTCTTGGGTCAGTGGTCAGTTCCAGCCTGCCTCCTGTTTTCATGTGGCCTGTGAGCTGAAAGCATTTTTCACATTTTAAAATGGTTTTAAAAAAATCAAAAGAAGAATGATATTTCACGCAATGTGAAAATTATTTGAGATTCCAGTTTTGGTGTCCAGATATAAAGTTCTGTTAGAACCCAGCCACACGCATTCAGTGATGTTTCTGGCCGCTTTCTGAGTCACCGTGGCTTTGACCCTATGGCTGAAAAAGCCTATAATCTTTACTCTCGGGCCTTTTATAGGAAGAGTTGCTGCCCCTGATGTAGACCACGATGTGGGGGTTCGCCTGGACTTGTGCAGTGCGCAGCATGCACAGCTGTAAGGGAGCCATACTGCATACACAAGCACACGCACGTTTTACAAAATAAAACAGTGCTGTCATTCTGAGGTTTATTTGATCCCTGCTGATGTTTTGCTGGCCTCTGATTTTTCACTATCGCCAGTAACGCTGCAGTAAACATCCTTGTTTCATTCGGGCTCTGGCACATTCCGAGGGTTACAGGGATCCCCAGCTGAGCGTCCGTGCTGGCGCCTCATCCACAGCGTGGCCGCTGGTGCTGAATGAACAGTTTTTCAATTTCACCTTCACGATGGCAGCCTGAGCGAGGAAATCTATTCGGGACTGTTTAAGAAAGAGGAAAGTCTGTAATGAGTCGGGAGGTTTTAAAATCCTAGAAGTGAAAAAACAAAGGAAGTCAACTGATCTCCAAATCCCGGGGAAACTGCTCGGCAGGGGAGACCCGGAGCACCTCACGTGCTCGGATTAGCGCCACGTGCGGACGCGGTCCTGACGCACTCCGTGCAAGTCGGTTTCCCGGTGGATCGCAGCCTCTGTCTTCGTCTACATCTGTGCTGGGGGTTTGGCCACAAGGATTCCGCACGGAGGCTGTATTTTCCAATCGGAGCTGATATTTGCATGAATGTTGAGATGTTCTTCCCTCCGAAGTAAATTTTGACCCTGGTCTTCCCGTCATTTCTTTGCTGGGAGATCAACCCGCAGCAGTAACTGCTTATGAAACTGGTTTTCCTCGTGACGGAATCTGCTGGAGTCCATCAAAGGGGCAGCTGCTCTTTCTGGACGGCCCTTTTCTTATAACAGAAACCAACGAAGAAACGTATTTATTGTGTTTCCTGCTGTGGAAACGCCCTCAGGTCATGTGGCCTGGCGTATATATCAGTAACTCGTGGTTGACAGCAGTTAAAAGCGTTTGGTACCAATGATACCAAACAGCTCGCTCAGCCTGTTGGCTTGGCTTCCCTGCCTGCTCCAAGGTCTAGAAGCATCTGCAGAAAGTGTTCCCTGATGGAATGACACCAATTTCTGACTTGTCAGGCACCTGACTCATTTCTGGGAAGTGTTTGAAAAGAACATTCTGGTTCCTGCAGAGAGCAGGTTTATAAAATGTTCTGTTCGCACCTAGAGCCCCTACCAACAGACAGAAATCAAAACAACGTTTACCTCAGAATCGTGCCCCCTGCTCCCACCCCACAGAGTGTCCATCTCATTTTTATACGGAACTTGGTGCCACCTTTGTGGCTTATGACTTTTCCCTCACTCATGCCCCCTTTCCGTGTTTCACAATTTGCATGGTGGGTTTTCCCCGTAGGTTTAACAATAAGCAACTGGTACCTGTCCTGGAAAGGGCCGGCCTGGCCCATTTAAAAGGCAAGTTTATTGATGGGTTCAGCGCTGAGTTATCCTCCTCTGCCTAGAACTTCAAAGAGAACCCATCTGGCTTGCTCTCTCCTCTCTCTTTGAATCATGGTCCCCCCCATCCTGGTCCTGCCCAAAATCAGTGTGAGCGCTGGAGAGAGACCCACCCCTGCTTTCAGA